ACATTAGATGGCGCTTAATGAAAAACAGAAATACCCCGGTACACATCGAATCCTATTTGATCTGCAATTCCTCTCCATAACAACTCCCTCTTATCGAGATTTTTGTAGTCGCTGTCACGTTTGTCATAAAGCCCTTTGTGTTCAGACACCAATGAGACCAGCAGCTCTACATTCATCTTGCCTCGATACATCTTCTTGGTCTACTTACTTCCTCTTCGTCGTTAGGTATCAAGGTGTGCTCGGCAAGACCGCTTTGTGCTTGAGCGCCACCAAGTCGTGTTTTACTGTAACTTCAGCAGCTCCAGACACGTGAACAAAAGCGCCAATCTCATTGGTCGGCCAGTTTTTAACGCAGCGCGTCAAACCAAAAAAACGAGCCAGAGGCGTTTTTTTTAAAAATGACGCTTTTACGCCTCGCGTTTTGCACACTCACATTGGCGCCCTTTGTTTAGTCACTAGTCGTTAAATGTCGGCGATAATCGCGCGCGAAATTCGTCCTGGTGTGAACAAGCCTTAACACTGGTTCAGCGCAGTTTTTCCTTGCGCTTTGAACTTTGAACCCTGGTTAACAAGCAGATAGCGCAGCGAGTTCGTCCAGCGCTGTCAGAATACATGCAATTCAGCAGCTCCAGACACGTGAACAAAAGCGCCAATCTCATTGGTCGGCCAGTTTTTAACGCAGCGCGTCAAACCAAAAAAACGAGCCAGAGGCGTTTTTTTAAAAATTATGCTTTTACGCCTCGCGTTTTGCACACTCACATTGGCGCCCTTTGTTTAGTCACTAGTCGTTAAATGTCGGCGATAATCGCGCGCGAAATTCGTCCTGGTGTGAACAAGCCTTAACACTGGTTCAGCGCAGTTTTTCCTCGCGCTTTGAACTTTGAACCCTGGTTAACAAGCAGATAGCGCAGCGAGTTCGTCCAGCGCTGTCAGAATACATGCAATTTGTGCGTGTATTAGAAAACATGATGTTCTGCAGTTTATTTACTAATTAAGGCCATTGCGCAATTTCAATCATCATACAGTAACCAGCAACAATCACCCCTTCCTCTTCTCATCGAAGACATGCGCTGCAGCACTAAACAGTCTCTCGCTGTCGGTGCTTGTAATGATTTTTGTGTCTTTCTCGGACCGTTTAAATGCTTCCACACAGCTGACGTGTGTGCATAATGAGTGCGCGCCTCTCACACCGTGTCTACACCGGACGCGAGCGGCGTGACAAAATACTATAGAACCCATTATAATCAGTGATGCTGTCTACACTGGATGCGGCGCGACACGACAAATCCCCGACAGAAAACTGCTGCCGCGTTCTATCTATGACGTATTGACACAAATTTCAAATGATTTTCAACGATCGCTTTGTCGCGTCCAGTGTAGACAGACCTTTTGGCGACCGGTGTAGATACGGTGTCGCTCTATGCTGGTTGCTTTTTGATAGCGACACGTCATTGTTCGGTACAGTTTATTCTGTCTTTTCAGAGCTTTTTTTGCTATTTTCGGCCGAATAATTTCGGTTGCCGAACATTCGGTGCATCCCTATTAAAATCACATACATTTTTGGTGTTGTGTGTGTGAAATAATAACATTAAACTTCACTGTTTCACCTGATTTTGTTTTCGCTTTTAATAGGGTGATTTTTTGTTGTTGTTGTTCTTCTTTTTATTTATTTATTTATTTAGTTAATTTTGTTTTAATTAGGGTCAATCTGACTCTGACCATAATGATCACACCCAGATTTTAAACATAATACAAGGGCTAGAGACCAGAATATCAGAAGACCTTTAGCATTGTGTTGGTGAGTTTTGACCAGGCAAGCACCACTTACATTTTTTTCACTTACATTTACAGTTTAGTCAGTTACAGTTTTGCTTCTTCATCTGCTAAGTGACACGGATATCCAGGACGATCCCGCTGGAGTAACCTGGGGTTAAGTGCTGTAGTCATATGATAGCTCGTGGCTCTCTCCATCTGGGGATTGAACCAGCAACCTTCTGCTCATCAGGCTGTAGAGAGAGACACCATAAACTCAGGCGAGACGTTTTGGGGCTTTTAATGCATGCCAGTCAGTTTTGAGGCCTTGAAATGCATTATTTTAAGCGGTTACTTACTCCTCCCGGAAAACAGAATATAATACTGATGACTCATCTTGCACTTAGGGGCGTATGCTAATTATCGTCCAATCAGATCTCTCTAGAATGAGAACACCCTTCCCCAACCACCTGCAACTGACCAGAAAATTACGGTTCCAGATTGTGTCATAAATTAAAGGTTATTGACTATTAAAAAAAGACAAGCCCTTTAATGTGTCTGACCTATAGGAAATGAAAGAAGGAAGATTGCACTCATCAAACCATTTCCAGGGGTTTTTAACCATTACAGCCCATTTATGTGGCAGTCTGTCCTTTTAAAAGACTGGGCTTTTTTTGTCATCTAGTTTGCGTTTTCTGGGAAGGAAGCTTTTAGGGCAGCATGATAAATCGAAATGGAATCGAGATCGCGATTCAATAGAAGCTGCGATTGTCATGCGTATCTTTCAGTGAAGCACGGTTCTGTGATCAGCAGTAAATCTCCATCCGAAGACCAGAGGGAGCGCTCTCGTGCTGAAACTCCAAATACGCCTCGCAGAAGAAACCCAGAAAATGCCTATCGATTATTTCGATTATTTGCACAGCCCTATTCCAAACCTGTATAACATAATTCTGTGGAACACAAAAGAATGTTTTATTTTTGGGTCAACTATCGCTTTAAGTTATTTCAGAGCTAATATGTAAATATGATGAGCATATACATATGTTTATATACATATCTTTATGAATATTTCAAAAGGATGACTTTTTGTTTTGCTATGTCACCCAGCCCTACTTTGAAGTGTCTAAACCACTCAGAAGAATAGAGAAAGAGAAAGGCAAAGAGCGAGAAGTGGTCATCGTAGAGTAAAGAGCAGTGTGAACATTCTTCAGAGCTTCTTCTTTTGTGTTCCACTGAAGAAAGAAAATCGCACAGGATTCATTAAAGCATCCCAGAGTATCACAGCCATGTAGTTCCACATATAAAGTTAATCGCATGATGTTGAAACGTGACTAAAGTGCTGCGGTAATACTGTATGGCAGTGTTTTCCCTCTCACTGGTCTTCTGAAGGCTGGGTTAATCTTTGAAGTCTTTGAACAGATGGAGATTTCCCATTCAGATGCATGAAACACTGCAGTCGCTTGAAGCGGCCACTCTGAGCTTTGTATTTATAGTGAATGTGCTGGTTTTATCTCATGAAGTGTAAAGGCAGGCAGTGAATATTAGATGTGCTCTGTGTGCTTGTGTCTGTGATCCCTGCAGGTTTTTAGGGCAGGGGTTAGAAACACTCCCATGGGCTTAAAGCAGTCTTACTGCAGGCCTGGTGTAATCTTATTACCCGCTGTTAGTCAATGACCGTCTTTGTGATGGGGCTTTCAGCTCAGACCTTATTACCTAAATATATAGCAGTGTCAAAAGTGAATGAAGGGAATGAGAAGGACAACCGAGAGAGTTCAAGGAATATGAGTCTTATGTGTTCCCGTGACTTAAAAGCTTGTCGCTCATTGGTTGTTGAGTTTTGTCCTCGAACACTGAAAAAAAAAAATGACATGACACTTTTATTTTTCAGATCGGTTTATTTATCAGTAAACACATTAAATATGGAATGAATATGAACCTTGACTTGAATATGATAAGCATGTTTTTAATTGTATTAAAATGTGTATATTTTTGAGGGGGTAATAAAAATATCAAGTTCATACATTTGCTCTAATATAACGATGAATAAATCCTCATTACATATTAAAATTATGGAATAGAAAACCTTTAGTTTAGCATAATCTTTTTATTTGTTTATTTATTTTAGATTTTAGCAGACATGCTTATTAAAGGGGTCATATGATGCTATTTAAATTTTTCCTTTCTCTTTGGAGTGTTACAAGCTCTTGGTGCATAAAGAAGATCTGTAAAGTTGCAAAGACTAAAGTCTCAAATCCAAAGAGATATTCTTTATAAAAGTTAAGAGTCAGCCACGCCTATCTAAAACGGCTCGTTCTAACACCCCCCCACATGTCTACGTCACTATGTGGGAAGATTTGCATAACACCGCCCAAATGTTACCACCAAGAAAGAAGGCGTAACTTTTATTCTCGCTGTAGTATTGTTGTTGCCGCTGCCATGTCGTGAAGACACTGTGTTTTGTTGTGAAAGCGAAACTACTTCGTTTATACAGTATGTGGAAAATAATGTGTTTTTTTAACCTTAAACCACATAAACACATTTCATTACACCAAATAATGTTCTTTTTAGCAACATCATATGACCCCTTTAATATATGAAATAAGTTTATCGATTGTGTCTCTTAAGATCTCTTAAACTAAAGGGTAGATTAAACCGTAAAATGTAATGTGGTGCAACTCCCCTAAAATGTAATGATATTTCAGTAAGTTAATTATTGATTACAATTATAAAAATAAATAAACATAATTAAATGCCTTTTAAAAAAATGTATTCCTAAACAATTAAGATGAGTGCTCTAGCTGTATGTAAGGTGCAAATATTAATATTTTTTTACTTGATGGTTACACCACATGACATTTTTGGAGTCATCATAACTGGTGTAAAAGTTTTTCAAAACCATTTGAAACTGACATGAATACAAAGAATATTTGGTAACATTAAGGTGTCCTTGTTACACACGTTACATGTACTTACTATTATAATAACAATTAATTATGCATAATTACATGCAAGTCAAACCCAAATCCTAACCCTAACCATATAGTAAGTACATGTAGATAATTCATATTACACAGTACTTATATGTATAATTACACTAACAAGGACACCTTAAAATAAAGTGCAACCAAATATTTCTCTAATAACTTGACACATGCCCCCCACAGTTCCCTAGTTTTACCCCTTTTCTTTATCATGGATACTTTTTGACTCATAACCTTTAAACCATCCAACCAATAAGTGTATGCGTTTGTCTTGTGTAGGTTCACTAAGAACCTCTCCCCGGATAAGATCAACCTGAGCACGCTGAGAGGAGAGGGTCAGCTGTCCAACCTGGAGCTGGACGAGGAGGTCCTGCAGAACATGCTGGATCTGCCCACCTGGCTGGCTGTCACTCGAGTCTACTGCAACAAGGCTGCTATACGGGTATACGAGAGCCTGGAGGAATTATTATTATCATGCTAAAGAGCTAATAGGAAATTATCACAAAGATATTGAAACAAATTCAGTGTTATTTAAGTGTGTGTGTGTGTGTGTGTGTTTTCTCTGTCAGATACAATGGACAAAGTTGAAGACCAGTCCCATATGTTTGGTAAGAATCTCCCTATCAATGTGTTTCCCCTCTTGCATAATTTTTCTTCTCTCGGTCACATTCTGTCATCCCCCTGTTTATCACATGATCTCCTGTCTTTTTTCACTTCTGCAAAAGTACCCTTGTATCAGTATTGTGCTTTTCACTCAAATGCTACCGCGTCTGATAAGGTGGGTCCAACAGTGACTGCAGTCTTTTTCAGTGGCCTGGTATACAGACCATTTCTCCTTAGTTTTAGAATTGAAACATAAGCAAAATCATAACAGTTGATTTAAAGCAAAAATATATGCAAATATAAAAATATAGGGGAATAAATGAACTACTCTTGTAATCCATTGCAAACGATAAGGTTGAATAATTCTGGGTCTTTTTTAACCCTCATAAATGCATTCAGGTCTATTTTAAACTGGAGGAGATGTACAGAAAGAATTGAAAAAGAAATGTGTGCAAAACCACATTATGCCAATGTTATTTTTTTGCTAAATATATTATATTTTATATAATATATATATATATTTTTAAATTAAATGTAGTTTTCAAGATTTTTTAAAAAGATACAACTATTAAAAATAAAGTTTCAAAACCTTCTCTGTTCGTGTCTATTTTGACCCGGGTATTAAGTGAGGCTTAAACATGATCTTATGCAAACATTACTTACATGAGTTACAGTAGATTTTTCTAAAGTATATTTAGCCTTTTCCCCCCTGTATTTTACACATGCACTACATTTTATGGATAAACATGAAAATGCACGCCTATTGATGAACAATTGCAGCATGGAAAATTGATCAACATTTTTGTCTTAAATTTAAAGTGTTCTTATAAAATGATGTCTTCAAATATACATTCTCATGATGACTTTTTGCATGTCAGTGGTTCTTCTGTAGATCATGTAAAATTTCCAAGAATTTCTTCATTTAAAAATAATTTCTAATGAAAAGTTGGTAAACGTAGTGATAACATTCAAAACTTTGAGATGAGAAATTATTAATCAGATACAATAGTTTTGTTGTTTTATGTGCTTGTGTTCTACTGAATTCAAAATTTGTATGCAGATTTTGAGTGCATTATGATGGTTAATGCTCTACCATTACAACATCCCATATTAACTAACATTATATTGTTAACTAGTTAAAGTTATCTAGATTCCTAAAACATGCTGCTCTGGAGATTGCTGGTAGATTCATATTTCCATATTCCAGAGATAATTCGTGGCTTGAGCATAGTTCATCATAAAGTAGTGACTGACAGCATCCGAAGGTCTGACCTACTGAATTCGGCCTGAACTCTGTTTCCTGTCCTTCTGCAGTTCCTGGATAAAGTAGAAGTTGAAATGAGGACCTGTGAGGAGCCCCGGCCCCCAAACGGCCCCTCTCCGATTGCCATTACTCCAGGCCAAAGGTCAGAATGATCTGCAGCTTTCCTTTTAGTAAACCAGATCCACAGTGGTTTTACCTCCCTACGATGTCCTCTCCATCATGCACATTGACATTCTGATTCATTAGTGCTACTCGCTAAGTCAAGCATCAAGACTGTTATTTGTTCAAACCTACAATGCAGAGTAAAGCATATCGCACCATTTGTGCTACAAACAAATGGTGACCATAAATGAGTAATATTAAATATTTTTAAATATTAAAATATTTGTATTTTTATATTTTCAGTTTACATTTGAATTTTATTATTTTTTTATTTATGTTTTCATTCATCTTCGAATTAGAAATGTTTCCAAGGCCAAATTTCTCATTTTAAGTTCACAATAGCAACACTGGATTGAAGGTCAGATCCAGTTCTTCATTAGAGTCGGTGTAATGCATGTTTGCGGTCTGTTTCTTGTCTCTACAGTGAGTATGGCTTTGCTGAGAAGGTCGTGGAGGGAATGTCTGTGATCATCAACTCCATCACGATTAAAGTTCAGGCCCGAGCGTTTCACGCCTCCTTTGAGCTCTGGCAGCTCCAGGGCTGCAGCCTCAATCCCAAATGGCAGAAGAGCGACCTGCGCTACACGCGCATTACACATCCGAAGAGAGGAGAGGTACAGTACAGAGATACACCGCAGTACCTGTTTTGAAAGTAAAAGCAGGTATATGCTAGGGTTGTGACGGTGAGGAAATTTTCCCACCGGTTAATCGACGAGTGACAACACCGGTAATACCGGTATCACCCTTGGGGGGTGTTAGTTCGTTTGAGTTACCCTCTTTCTTCGCTTTCAAATGGCTTGTAAAATTGCCATGCAAATTTTACTTTCACTTTCAACTACCGCAATTCGGCGTCAAGCAATTGTTCGTTTGAGTTTTCCCTCTTTTCCTCGGATTTCTTGGCTTTCAAATAGCTTGAAAAAGCGCCGTGCGCGTTTTACTTTCACTTTCAAATTTGGGGCAATTCAGTGTTGATTCAATTCAAGCAACAACAAGGTCAAACTCAGAACTTTTATTAACAAAACGAATAAAAATACACCATATAGGCCTAATAAAATAACAAATTACTTGGGCTACACAACGTTTGAATGGGTATATAAAACTGAAAATCAGCAAACACTGTGGAACCAAATAAATAAGAAACATAGAACGTTTATTAGCAAAACGAATAAGAACGCTTGGAGGCACGGCATATACACCTTGATGTCAAATAAAATAAATAGAATACACAAAGTTTAAATAAAGTAATCCGCAAACACTGTGGAACCAAATAAATAAGAAACATAGAACGTTTATTAGCAAAACGAATAAGAACGCTTGGAGGCACGGCATATACACCTTGATGTCAAATAAAATAAATAGAATACACAAAGTTTAAATAAAGTAATCCGCAAACACTGTGGAACCAAATAAATAAGAAACATAGAACGTTTATTAGCAAAACGAATAAGAACGCTTGGAGGCACGGCATATACACCTTGATGTCAAATAAAATAAATAGAATACACAAAGTTTAAATAAAGTAATCCGCAAACACTGTGGAACCAAATAAATAAGAAACGAATGTTTAAAAATGCTTCCAGTCAATAGGCTTTTCAAAATAAAAAATATTGCCAAACAGGCGCCTTTGCATTTCCTTTCTAAAAAATCTAAACGACGGTGGGGGGGCGGGCGGTGCCGCGGTAGGCAAATGACGTAACCGGTGTTGCGGCTTAACACCGGTATAACCGAAAACACCGTCTATCGCAGCAAGCCTAGTATACGCTTCAATGCTCTTCATGATGGGTCGCCCTGGAACTTGACACATGCTGGCAGAAGCTACATTTAGATTGAAGAAGTGCAAAAATGTCTTTGCCAGGTTTTTGTGGCATTACAAAACCCAGGGCGAAACACCTTTCAGTATTAACTGTCCGTTTGTTCATTTTAAAGAGCAAGTGAATCATTATGGAGAAAAATAGCAATGGTTACATAATCCGAAAGGGGACAAAAGCAGCACTGTCATAGTGCAGAGATCAACAGCTGTCAGATCAAAGCCTTTTTGCACATCACTTCTCCTCCTCTTGTTCCTCTTTCGCTTGCTTTTCTTCATTCAGAGAAGCACATGCTCATGAAAAAAGTCCCTTCTTAATTTCTTTTCCAGACTGCCATTAAATAATGAAATCAGGCCAATCATTTTGATATATGAAGAGAGTATTCAGGTTGCCAGATCTTCTGAACCAGCCCATCCAGTAATGCAGTTAGATGTACGCTGGACGTTACACCTGAAGATGCCCTCTCATGGTCTGAGCTCTGCTTCTGCTCGCTCAGGGCCAGATGAAGTCCGTGTGTGTTTCAGCAGTCAACATGAAATCAAACTGATACAGATTCCTTTTATACACATTTCTAGTATTTTTATCACCTACTGTTTATGCTGCACAATACATATAAAATAAAGGTTTATTAATAATAATAATAATAATCAAAAATCAAAATTGCCATTTGGCTGCAATTACCAATTCACTCATTTCACCAGATTTGAAATGAGAAGCATTTATAAACCTGTTGCCAACAAACGAGAAAGCTTTAAGGACTCCCTGTGGTTTTCCTGCAAGATAAAAGCTTGAAGATTTCAGGAAATAAAATAGAGACATGTTATAAAATAGAGAAGATGTTAATATTAGTATTGTAAGTTTACATTTGTAATATAAAATCAAATGATTATTAGTCTTTTATCAAATGGTCCTTTTTATTTTACAGTACAAAAGTATTATTATAATTCGTTTTTTATCTTTATAATAATCTCAAAAATCGAAATAATAATTTGTTTTTTAGTCATTCGGAATAAGTCAACAACAGTAAAATCAACAACAACATGGACACCCAAGTTGTGAGTTTTTCCTGAATCATTAATAATCATACAACATAAAAAACAATTCACTATTTAACTATTACATTTTTTCCCAGTGCAGATGCACTCTACTACAAAATCACCCCAATCGTTCAGAATGATTGATATTCCAAAATCATTTAGAGAAAATCGGTTTATTTTTTTTCCATATCCTAATAAATATTGCAGAAAATCAAAATATGACATTGTCCTTTTTCTTCTAAACATCTTGCAGCCCCACTGCTGTTGTAAGTAATGCATCCTTTCTTAAATCTTGCAAATAGACTAATTTAATGACAGTTAACATATAAATGCAAGATTATTACAATAGTAGAAAATAAAGATGAATTTGAAAAGCAAAGCGGTTTTATTTTGAAGAAAGCCCATTCAGTTGCCATCTTAGTAATTCCTCCGAGTAGCTATTTCCAATCTTAAAAGTCAATGTGGCAGGACTCAAATCTTAATGATAATCACCAAGCTTGCATTTACATGACATATAATGTCAACAATAAGATCTGACAGTAATGTTATCATAAACTTTGATTGTATTGCTGAAATCAGGCTAGAAAAAGATCCGGGGCCCGTTCTTCGTACGTCGCTAACTCAGTTAGCTGGATTTGATTGTTGACGATTTGGCTTGATCTTGGATTGGTTGGTTCTTCGAAGCTCATCCCGGAGTTGCTGTCATTGCAACAGGTCCGTAAGCTTAAACCTGCTCGGGAGATTGCATCTTTTTAAGCAGAATTGATACTTAAAATCTGTCCCAGCCGCCGCTACTTTATTACAAAAGTACCCTACTAATCCAGAGACAATAATTTAAAATAATAATCATTAAAAAATGTATTTAAAGATAATATAATAATGCTGTGTAGTCTTTAATACCACAGACACAGCCAGTTTTACTCACTGAAAGATTTATTCGTCATAAAAGTATTACTTCATAATTGTATTTGAGTCTTACACGCATGCTACACAGATAATGTAGAGTCGTGCATTCATTTGAGTGCTGACAGATATTATGAGAGTGGCTTGATGGAGCGCAGGAGATGCAGATAACATGATCTTGACCCTTAAGAAACTTTAAATAATGCTGTCACGTAACAAATTACTAATTCATCAACAACAGGTGCGCTCGAAGAACCGAATTAGCCAGATCCTGATTAGCGCGGTGATATAATCTTGAATGTGACATTTCATCTCGGATATAATAAGTGACGTACGAAGAACGGGCCCCAGGGGTCCGTTCTTCGTACGTGGATTACTCTGTTATCTGGATTTTTTTGACATGATCCAGGATTGTTAGATTCTCCGAAGCTCATCCCAGAGTTGCTGTCATAGCGACAGGTCCGTTAGCTCAAACCTGCTCGAGAGCGGGCTTATGTCACGTAAACAGGAATAGATTGCATCTTATCTTGCAAGCAGATATGAGCAGACTTAAAAGTCTGTCTTAGCCACTGCTGCTGTTTTTTACAAGAGTACCCTATTGAACCTGGGGCAATAATCATTTGAAATAATACTAATCATTTAAAAGTTAATTTGAATATAATATTGTATGCTCTTTTTTGATTATATAATGTCATTACATTGCTGATCGTGGTTTCGAGTATCGATACATCTGCCCTTTCCTATGCACACAAGAGCACGCAGTAATCTCAGACAACTTCGTTTGAAGAACCTAATTAGCCAGAGATCAGTTTTCACGATTAGAAGACCTGGCATCTGTCAAATTCTCTGAGATGTATTAAGTGACCCCAGGTGGGTCCAGCTAATGTGCTTAACCAGATGCTGATGCCTTTGCAGATAAGGTAATTGGTTCAAATTGAAAGCCAGGTCTTCATTTGTGTGTTGCTGTTTCTCAGTGAGTGCAGTGTCTCATCCTCATCCTGTCTCTGGTGTCCTGCAGGTCCTCACCTTCAAAGAGATCAACTGGCAGAGTCTGCGCATAGAGGCGGATGCCATAGAGAGTGACGAGCAGGATCTGGGCAGCACGCCACTGCGCCTCATTACCAATCAAGGACGCATACGCATCGCTCTCAAACGCAGGGTACCGTTTTGATAACAACTGGCTGTTCAAACATTTTCTCTCTTCATATCACATTTGTCATAGTCACCTGGGATAATGACCAAACTAGTCCTAGGTTTTTCTCTGATTGTAGAGTTTGCGTGATTTTTCATCTTGCCTGGAAGATATCGGTCTAAATTAGGGCAAAAATCTACTTTTTCACAAATATTTTTGACAGGTTTTGACGTGAGATTGTTTGATAGGGCATCATCTGTTGCATCTGATTGTATTATGTGTTGCTTTGGGATACTGGAACTAAGATCAAATCACCATTTTCATAATCATTAGAATTAGGGCTGGACATTATTGGAAAAAATTCTGACATTGTGATATTTTATTTTTCTGCAATATATATTGCGATTTAAAAAAAAAAAAAGACAGGAATTTTTAACAGATTATTTGAATAGCTCTATTGGCTAAGAATGAATCATTCTAGAATGATTACAGTGATTTAGGGGAGTGCATCTTCATAGAACATAAAAAATAAAATAAGTATAACTAAAAAACTATAACTTATGACTCTTATTTTTAGTGTAAACCATCCTTTTAGGGCTTAACAATTTGGGAAAAACTTGCAAATATGTGGAGTTTACACTTTGGTGTACTAAAAGAACCAACTCATACCTCTTTCAGAAACCATAAAGTAACCAGAGAAAAAAAAAATGTCTTGAGTTATCATAGACCACGTTCTCATTGTTTTATGACCCATTCGTTATTACTATAAAATAATATTAATTTATTATAATTTTTATTCTGATATATTATTGTTATAAACACTGCTCTTGTACGGCTTGTACAATGAAGATCCAAATGCAGCTTTATTAGAGGGTTATCCAGAATCAAGGTCCGAAACAAGCAAAAGATCATAACACAACAAGGGAATTGCTCAGAATTGCAGCAGACACTAACAAGACTTCGCAAAGACACAGGGAAATGCATGGGGTATAAATAGGGAGAGACAAACAGGGTAACAAGTGGGAGGAGCTAATTAAACACCATGGAAACTAACAAGGGGAACCATGGAGACAAACAAGGCAGAGGGGCAAACAGCAGATGAGACCGGGCAAAGAATTGTGGGAAATAGAGTCCAGGATGGAAAGGCAATGGAGTAGGGAGGAGTGCCCTCTGGTGGATGTCCAAGGCTCTCCGTCTGGTGATTGTGACAGTTATTTAATAACAATATTACATAAATTAAAATGTTGAAAAAATTATACTGTAAAATGCAAAAGAGTAAAATACAAAAATAGTATTTATTAAAAATAGTAACAATAATTGTATTGTATACTAATAACTAGCAAAGAGTAACCACTAAGAGTAAATACTAGTGCTGTCAAACGATTAATCGCAATTAATCACATCCAAAACAAGTTTTTGTTTACATAATATATGAGTGTGTACTGTGTATATTTATCATGTGTATATATAAATACAAACTGTAATGCATATATTTAAGAAAAATATGCTACGTTTATATATTAAATATATTTATATATAATATAAATGTATATACATGTAAATATTTTCAAAATATATGCTGTATGTGTGTGCATTTATATATACAAAATAAATAAACACAGTACACTCATATATTATGTAAACAAAAACGCTTATTTTGGATGTGATTAATCGCGATTAATCGTTTGACAGCACTAGTAAATACTAATACTAAACATTGTTTTTCCCTTCACTTGCAAACTTTTGGCTTTAAAAGAAAAACAAAATCAGTAAAATAAAGTTATAATGAGCTACATGCATGTTAATGACCACAATGCCGCTTCACTTTGAAACATGCCGTGCATATATTTAATGAAATCGCAGCATTCACGGTAATTGCACTAATCAATATCGCGATTTCAGTTTTATTTCAATATGTCGTGCAGCCCTAATCAGAATGAAATCATGTGTATTCTGTGCTGACGTTTCTTCCCCTTCCTAATGTCAGGTGAAGGACTGTAATGTCTTGGCCTCTAAGCTGCTGTTTATACTGGATGATCTGCTGTGGGTGCTGACAGACTCTCAGCTCAAGGCCATCATCCACTACGCCAAGTCTCTGAGTGAAGCCATGGAGAAGTCCTGCCAGCAGAGGAAGAGCATGGCTGCTGAGACACTACAGGTGCCACACTGTGTCCTTTAAATCAGCCTCAAAACTGTTATAAAGACAGATTAATGATCCATTAGATGCTCTTCTTATCAGCACTTTGTGTTTTACGATCAAAGATGAAAACGAAACCTTATCACCTTACGCTGCAGCTGGCTCGGACTTCATGACTGGTTTTAGTGTGGATTTTGAACACAATTGTAATTACAAAACAGCTCAGCAAAGTAAATGTAATGTAAAGTCCTCTATAATACATGAAATCCCAAGTCTACTCAAACACAGCCGCTCCCTGTGAATGACTCAGCCAGTGCTTGAGTGTTTATTTATGTCTTCTTGTATTGTGCACCAGACTGCGCCTCCCTCTCCTGGGATCCACTCTCTGTGGACTGAACCTCCTCCACCCGAAGCGGTCGGGACCCCGGGCACACTGGCCCAGTATTTTGACCTCCACGATGTCAAGGAATCATCCTACCACACTTTCATCTCGCGACTCGACCTGCATATCTGCAACGACAGCTCTTCAGATTCCGGTAGTGACTTTTCATCACCGTTACCACCAAGAGACATTAAAAGTCATCGAAAATTTACATTTGCAAAAAATTGAATTGTCATTTACTCACCCTCATGTCATTCCAAACCCATACTACTTTCTTCTTCTGTGGAAGACAAAAAGAGACGTTTAACAGAATGTTCAAGCTGCTCTTTTCCAAACAATGAAAGTCAGTGGGGCTGTTAATGTGAGAAACGGGATGACTCTGAACCACTTTTGACTTTCTTTAGTGATGCATTTTTTGCCTTTTTATGGAAAAGAGCAGTTTGGACATATAAATACATATTGTCTTTAGTGTACTTTGAAAGACAGAAACTCATGCAGGTTTGGAACCACATGAATTTTTGAATGAACTGAACTAACTGATGGCTCACCCATGTGATTTCTCCTGTACACATAGATGAAGCTCCACCTCCGGGGATGCAGGGTGCGATGCAGCTGACCTTCCGGAAGCTGGGCTGTGATTATTACCCATTTCACAGGCCAGGTGACTCTACTGCCGTTCATATGAGATTCAAATTAAACCTGCTTTACTGCTTTACGCTTCAGAGGTTTTCATTGTACTTTTCAGTCTCAGACTTTGAGGTCATACCATACAAAATCAGTACCATTCAAAATTCACACTACCGTTCATAAGTGTGTGGTCGGTGAGATTTTTTAAAAAAGCTTTTGAAAGAAGTCTCTTATGCTGATCAAGGCTGCATTTATGTGATCAAATTTACAGTAAAATTGTGAAATATTATCACAAGTTAAAATTACTGTTTTCTGTGTGTGTATATATATTGTAAAATAATGTATTCCTGTGATGTAAAGCTGAATTTTCAGCATGTCCCATATGTGGATAATGTGTAATTTGAACAACACTTTAGCTGTCTACAGCAAACCTTTTATTGTAAAAATCTGTAATTATTTTCTTCTGTTGTGCATACACAGACTGCTAAAAGAGGATGTACATGTTTTGTATTTGTTTTTGCTCTTTTACCACAAGCTTGTATACTCATGCTTTTAAAGTGATACAAGTCAGTTCCGTCCAAAATTAGACTTGCCTTTCAAATGAAATCTGCTAATGTCATCCCTTTTTCATCACAAGAATAAAGCAGCATGTGATGTGTTGCTGATGTTATGCTTTGGTTATCAAATTAAGAGCAGAAATGGGAAGTTCAAGGCCACGATGAACGTTTTGATGAGTTTCTTTGAGAGAAATTGGACACGTTACACATGAATGTATCTGAGATTCTTTACAAACATTTTCTGAATTAGTGTAACGTGTCCAATTTCTCTCAGTCATGGTACTGGCGTTTACAGTCATCTCAGTAGCTCAAAAGAGACACAAGTGTGTACTCTTAAAGCTACAGTTCTCAAAGTTATCCAGTGTGGATTTTTTTTCTCATTTTGTCTCTCATAGTTGAGGTATACCTATGATGAAAATTACAGGCCTCTCTCATCTTTTTAAGTGGGAGAACTTGCACAATTGGTGGCTGACTAAATACTTTTTTTCCCCACTGTAAGTCCCAGATCTTAGTCAACTTTACTTACTTCAACTTGCCCGTCAACGACAGTCTTCTACAGATCAAGTTGAAAAGCTAAAGTCAAAAGATATACAGTATAAATAAAACGCTGCCGTTATTAAAACCCCAATCTGTTGCTATAGGTGTCCACTGGAGGCCGTCACAGCAAGAGAACACAGTCTCTCCTCTCCTGCAACCGCAAATCCTTACATCTCCCAGACAACACTCCTGCAATTCACCTTCAGTTCACTGAATACTACTTCCCTGATAACCCTGGACTTCCTGGTGTGTTAGCTATGATTTGTCATTTTCATTGATCACTATGATTAATGCATAGCATTCATATTTAAAAACTCACATTCTTGTTGTGGGAAAGAGTTTAATTTATCTAAGTCTAATTTTAGTTTTCCTCCCACTGGCCCTTTCTCTCTCTAGTACCCTGCTCTAATCTTTATGCCCAGCTGAATGGTCTACAGCTGTATCTGGATGCTCCAAGTGTCTTGTGGATGACTCTGTTCTCACGGGGTCTACACAAGACGCTAGATCAGGTCAAAGCCTTCTACCACCTCCAGGACAGCAGCAAGATGGACGAACACATCGATATCCGCCTGGATGCAACACAGCTGAAGGTAATCCAGCAGATCTGATGTGCTTTGAAGGGAGGGTTTTGTAAAAGGAAATATAGATATAGAAGCTTTTGGTGCTTTTTTCCCTTTTCTTTATCATAGACATTCCTATTTTTCATTGAACCTTAAAGTTGGTTCATTAAAGGGGTCATATGATGTTGCTAAAAAAGAACATTATTTTATGTATCTGGTGTAATGAAATGTGTTTATGCAGTTTAAGGTTTAAAAAACGCATTATTTTCCACATACTGTGCATTATTGTTTCTCCTCTATGCCCCGCCTTTCTGAAACACGTCGATTTTTACAAAGCTCATCGTTCTGAAAAGCGAGGTGTGCTCTGATTGGCCAGCTATCCAGTGCGTTGTGATTGGCCGAATACCTCAAGTGTGTGACGGAAATTTTACGCCCCTACCATACTGTGATGCAGTGTCCGGCCGGAGCAACGAGACAAAAACATTAAAACCCATTATAAACGAGGCATTTGTTGCATCCAGTAGGGACATAATTACAGATTATAATGACTTATACTGTCGTTTTACACGTTGCACCGTGCTGCGTAAACATAAAACCATGTCTGCATTTGTGATCGAAGAAATGACAAACAACAAGCACTACTCTACACTGCTCAAAACTCGCGTTTGAATC